AACATTGTAGGCAGTTAACACAGTTTGTTCTGCTTAAAGTTTAAAGAAATGAAAAATATATCGGGGAAAAAGTGAGATTTTGACACGAGCACGTATACTCGTAGTAAACATTTATGTGAGTTCAAAACATGTTTCACAGAATGAAGAACAGATGGAATATTGAGTAGGCACGAGTGAAAATATAACAGCGGGTGTTCAAGAGCGAAATATAGTTTGATCTTAAATGTAAAACACACACATTTTCTATTTGGTTTTGCTATTGATAGTGGTTAAAAACTTTTGACTGATTTGGCCGCACAACTTCATGTTCTGTACTTCATGATGTTATGATATCATGTTCATGTTGAGAAATTGTATCATCAAGTCATATTTCTTTAAAATTTTAAAACGCCGTGGGTAGATATTTATGTGCTTCTCATAAATATGCACATTTTACTAACGACAGAGTGTAATTTAAAGGCAATGCCAATTCATTTATGATCCGCATTCAATTATAATTGGACAACTGTTACAGTGAAACTGTTTGTTAATATAATTTCACTATCTACTAAAAGCATGTAATAAGACAATTTATATGAACAATTCATTATATTTTTTGAATAAATTTATCTGTTAAAACAGCTCATATAAAGTTTACTGAAGAATAATACACAATAATATTCATGGTAAGCATAAACGCGTAGTTACTTGTTAAGAGTAGGCCTATTTGGAAACATATTTATTAATGTGACTGAGTTGTGTCCGACAGGTTGCCTTGGTAGCAGCGAACAAAGTAGATTGCATGATTTGGAAAACATGTAACGGTCTTGCAAACCCACTGGATATAGCAGAAAAGTCATGCTTATCTTATGGTGATAAGGGGACATTATGCTGATGTCTGCGATATTTCCCCACATTATACACTTTCACCCTGCAATAGACATAAAATTAGAAGCTAAATCTAACCAAGGTAATCGTCTTAACTCTGGTGAGCGGCCTTTAGGCCATTTCTGACTCAATAAATGATACAACTGTACCACTGTTGAAATAATTATTAATTATAGTTTATAGCTTCTATAATAATTTTTTTCATATTCATTTGAAGGGCAAAAAGGTAAACAACGAACATCGTCTTACACACGCACACACTTTATTTCATATAATGATATACAAGGTTTAAATACAAACTACTATTTATAATAAGTTTAATTTGGTTTCAACAATAAAATTAATAAAACGACTCTTTTAAAAGGAGCTCCAAAAATCTGAAAACATAAGAAATGCTTTTTTTACACACGTGGCTCTTGAGACGGAAACATCTACACAATTCTTTTAAAAATACTGAGAATTGAAATATAAATCGTTTTTTTCGGGCGATTCTTAGCCATATGTGAGTTAAAACATCAAACGCTATTCATTATACACATTGCTCGATAAACAATTGTGAAAAAAATGAAATGTGCGAACAGATTGAAATTTTACACACAGTTCAGAGCTTTATCAAAAAGTATAAATATAAAAATAGTTTCTGTCCCAACTTGTCAATAAAAAAATAATTCATTTGGAGCCCCTTTTCTGTTCTAAAAGAAAAAATTCACATCAGAGAATAAGGAAGATCTTTGAAATAAAATGTGTATTTTCTTAGTTGTTATACGAAAAACACAATATGTTAAAATAATTGTACAAAAACTCTTTTAATACGACTCTTTAAAAAGGAGCTCCAAAAATCTGAAAACATAAAATGTGTTTTTTTTTCACATGTGGCTCTTGAGACGGAAACATATACAAAAAAATTGAAACAGACTAAGAATTGAAATGTAAATCGTTTTTTCGAGCGATTCTAAGCCCTATGTGAGTACAAAAATCAAACGATTTTCATTTTACACATTGCACGATAAATAATTGTGAAAACAAAACGGATTGTGCGAACAGATTTAAATTTTACACACAGATTCATCAAAAAGTACAAATATAAAAATATTTTCAGTCCCAACTTGTAAATAAAAAAATCATTTGAGCCCCTTTTCTGTTCTAAGAGAAAAAAGTTTTGTTTGTTTGTTTAGGAAGATTTTTCTTAGTTATTATACGAAAAAACAATATGTAAAAATAATAGTTCAAATACTCTTTTAATTATCTTGACATTAATTTTCTTCATTAACGTGACATGGAATTATGATTATATATCATAACTTGTTATAAAGAGAAGCATTACGTGTAGATTATTGCATACAATTAGAAATAATGATGAAATTAGAAACATCGAGGAAGCTATAAGCATACAGGAAATATAAAACATCGAGCAAATAAGAATTTAGAAACTTAAAGATTATAAGAAACGTGTTGGGAAAATAATAAAATGTAATTAGAAACATGGAAATAACTAGAACCAGGAAGAAAATAATAATATGGAAGCAATAAGAAACATGGTGGAAATTGGAAAAATAAGGGAAATTAGAAACAGGGGTGATATAACAATAATGGATTGAACTAGAAACATCGAGGGAATAAGAAACATAGTGAAAAAGAAAGATCGACATAATTAGAAACATGCAATAAACAGGAAGCATAGGGGAAATAGAAAATGTAGGGAATAGATAAGAAGCAAGAGACAAAGTATCTAAATATGTAAAGGTCTTTGTTCTGAATAAGATTATCACACATTACATTACACGTAAAAAGCGGGATTATGAGATGAAGTTCTAAAAAGGTAACATTATAAAACAAATGTTAGAAGTTTAATTACACTTAACATATCACATATATACACTGATAGAAAAACAAACCGGAACGACTGATGAAAAATTATGTTAATTACTGAAACAAAAATGATTCAATTTCAATTTGTGAATAAATAAGGAAATATTATTTTGGAATTTTAGATTTTAAGAACAGTTTAAAATATAAAATTCAAAAAAGAGACAAACGAGACCCCCGGCTATACACAATGCCTATCCCAAACAAATTGACCTAATTTTATAAAAGTATGCTCTATTGCAATGGGTATTTGACAATATCATCAATCATTATCTCCAAAGTAGATAATGATTGAAGGATATTGTCAAATACCCATTGCAATAGAGCATACATTTATAAAATTATGTTTATAATTTTAATAATTAAAATCATTAAATATAATAATAATTTAATAATAATTTGTATATAATTGGTATATAATATAGTAATAATTATTAAATTATGTGTCCTGCAAGACACATGGAAGTCAACGAAAGTGTATAACTTAGCGAAAATCTATGATCTTTGACGGTGACGAATACATTTATTTGCTAACATTTGAAATATAAAATTATAAACTTAAACCAAGTAGTATGCTAACGAAACCCTTGTTTCATTTTTTTCAAACAGCCCAAGTCTACGTATTTTTCACGAAACACATCAACAATAAGAAAAATGGTGATTATTGAATAACCAATCAACAGCCATGCACCTATTTTGTAAAATATACTAACGTATATTATTTAACACATCAACAACAATAACACTACAATAAACAAGTTGTCTTGGACAAAGAGGACATACAGTTATTTGTGTAAAAGCAGCGAAAACTTTTGATTATTACAAGAATATGAACAATGTTCGTCACTAGACCAAATTTCATGCAAAATATATTTTTAATGTTCTCTGTGTAGAAGGTCCTTCTACATAATTGTACATGATATAAAGGAAGTAGGTCAACAAGAGCTCTGCATTGTGAAAATTATTGTACCAAACAACTTTAAAAGAAGATTTCCAAGGAGCAATCCTAGAAAGTAGTGATGTCACTGACCTTAAAGCTTAAGAGGAGATGTTGTTCAAAGAAGTGTGGACCGATGGACTAACGCGCTATAATTTGGATAATTAGATGGCGACTCTATTGTTTTCTTAACAAGCCTAAGTGCAAAAAAAAAAACTTAGCCACCCATGTAAAAGCTGACGGAATGTATGACATTTAAGCAAAAAGGGGCGCCCAATGACGGACATTGAGTGATAACAACATCTCTCCTTGAGAATGATTTGCTCTGGGGACAAACAGTAGAAAATTAAATCATAACATTTAAAATCAATAATATTGTTCCTTCCTCCTTGGTTTATTCTTCTAAAGTCTATCATTTTCTTAGTCAACTTTATTTCTGCGAAGTTATTAAACATACAAATGTAAAGCGGAACATTAACAAGTATAATTTCATTGTATTAAAAGCAATTACAGCACAATGCCTAAAAAAAGGACAAAATCTGATCAATGTATGCTTAAAATATACTTGTATATAAAACACTAAAGTGTATTATGGAAAAAAAAAGTTTTTGTTACTAACCATGGCCTGCTCTTTGTTTTTGGTTTGATGTTATTAAGATCACAACATGATATTTCAATTTCGATTATCTGTGGTTTTGTGTCGGACTTCAAAAAAAAGCGAAGCAACACAAAGCACGGCAAAATAACTTCAAAGTTTACAGCATAAAATCTTCAACATAGTCTTCTACACAGATATTAATATTATCATCTTTTCATTTCATAATATCTTATGCTAGAAAAGAAAACACATATTTGCAAAATGTTCTCTATTCACCAGATTAACCTCTTTTCTATAATACATTTAATTCACAACCTTTTTGTAGTCATGCATATCAATTGTTGACCCCAAACACACAAACGAACACACACACAAGCAAGCACTGACAAACGCAAGTACGAACGTTCAAATCCAGCACACACGCGCATAAATACTCGTATAATGTTGAAAGCAACAATGATTGATTAACAAATAAAAATTGTTACATATTTACAAATATGTCAATAAATTAGCAATATATTCGCATCTTATATAATTTAAACAGACAACACAACGCTAAAATCATTTGCATTGTAATTTCAAGAGCAAAACACCCAACTAGATGATGTCAATGACTATGGTTTCAATATACAATCTTATTTATTCAAACACGCCATCTGTTACATTTATAAAAAATATCATTCATTTAATATAAGCCTGTCTTTATAACAATAAATACTGAACAATTTATGATTGTTTCAGTGATCTGTATTAAATGTTGACACATACATTGTTATGCAATATACATTTTATTAAGATATTGCTTTCAATATGTTTGACTTTATGAATGATAAATCGTGTCCTAAATGTAAAATAATTATCTGTAAAGGAAATCACAGACTAAACTTCAATTGGCAGTGACATAAATATTTCATCAAAGTAAATAACAGTATATCTTTTATTAAATTTATCATTTGATTATACAAAAATCTATTTTTTTAAATGGTTATTATTTCAAGTTTCGTATAAACATTATTTTTGATTGATGAAATCATCTTAATATCCTTTCAGCCCAACATTTAAGAGTATAGCCATATTCAATAAGCTACCTTAATAGAAACTTAATAGTCGTATCCTTAATACGTTGGATATATCTCCTGTACTAAAATTACACCTCATGCAAGTGCCCATTTAATAGCTATAGGAATGTAAAGAAGTAGCTGAGTAGTTGAATTAAAACAATAATACGTTCAATAAGAAATATGGTGTTATCTTTTAAGATTCAAATTTATTTTTCTAGATACAGTTTTGTTTTATCTTTATGATCCAAACTTAAACTTAAGAAAATCAATTGCTTCTTTTAAAATCTACTTACATCTATAAAATATGAAGATATTGCAAAACAACTGTTTCTTGCATATAATGTTTCGATGAAATTGAAAGGAATTGATTTTAATCCCTGCCACTATATTAGGAATTAAGCAGAATATATTTCTGAGAGGCTTTGTAATGCGTGTGATTCTGTGATTTCATACCAGGATGTGGGTATATCATTGAATTCATACCCGTAATACTTATGTAGCCTTTCTTTATAGTTTGCCACAAACCACATCCAATATTTGGAAGTGTCATGCATATTAGCTGATGGGGCTATATACCATTCTTTTAAGACAGTTTTATAATCTTTGTAACGATGTGACTGTTCATCACAATTTTGTTGTTTTTCTGAATTACATTTATAATCAAAGACACAGCATTTATGCGTTTCATCTGATTGTATGCGAAATTCGCACGACGGCAAAGTAGCAAATAGAGTCTTCGTAGAACGAACGCCTATGCAGCATAACGGACGATGTTGTACACAGTTGTGTTCAGATCCTTTGTGGTCTTCACTTTTAGCACATGGCTCTCCACAGAACGCACACTGTTCTGGACATCCCCATATTTTCTGTATTATACGCTCTATAGGACTCGAATTTGACCATTGAACAGAACTGCTATCGACCTCATAAAATCGGCATAAAACGCTTTCTTCTGTTTTCTTTAAACTGTTTAATATTTCATTAGTAAAAAATTCTAAATTTTGAATGTATTCTGTTTCGTTCTTCATACTCCTAAACCTATCTGTTGAAATAGAAAAGTCTGAAGCTTCCATAAATGTTTGGAATGATTTTACCCATTGGTCGGTAGGAAGCTTTTGAAGTTTCTCAAATTTTTTGAGTACTTTACGTACACTCGTATTTACTTCAAGAAACATATTTCGTACTAGTAATGTGGACAATTTTGAGTATAAGTTTGACTCTTGTGCAAATAAATACTCATTTGCTTTAAGTGTTACCCATGTGCTTGCATAGTTCTTTGGAGCCTGTATGTACGTGATGAAATCTTCGAAGATGCCTTGTTTTAAAAGATCAGTACATATTTCAATAATGGCTCTATTTTTCACAGAAGGTAGATTGGTATAAAGTTCATCCGTTACTTTATTCGGAAGCGTTTGTAATGTCCATTCCTCTGCAAAACTGTCTATGATATTGACAAAAAGCTTTGCGATGGTATCTTCAGAATGACGATTGCGTAAGTGAGCTTCAAATCTTATTTTTTGTTGTGCTCTGTATTTTTCGAGACAAGCAGCAGCACCATAGGTTTTAAAATAGTTTTCATTGTGCTTCTCAAACACAGAATGAGCATGTCTGCCGACATGAACATACATCTTTACATAAAAATGCTTCTGAAACTTATATTCTATATCCCCTTTTAAAATATCGTTTATATTACTTTCTAAGTCATGCATAAGTTTGTTCACAGACATTTCTGTTATTTCTTCTCTGAGTTGACAACAATGCTGTATCTTAAAATCAACTGTTTCAAAGACCTGGTTAACTTTTGTTTCAATGTAACTCATCACATTTGTACCACCATACATTATTTGCTTTCCCATTTGAGTCCATGTAAAATTGATATCTTTTTCATCAATACCCGTGTGTTTGAATGATCCCTTTAAATTTGTTAAATTTGGCAAAGGTGTCAAGTTTTCACTATGTTTCAAAACTTGTCTTATTATCTGGGAATGTTTCTGAAATTTATTTATAAGATATGTTTCAAAAATATCGCGCATTGGCTTTCTTTTTTTCTCTACATTAGAAGTAGTAGTATTTACCTTCTTAACAAAAGACTGCCAAATTCTATTGAAAAAAAGTTCATTTATGTCTTCATTGCTTAACATTTGACCCTCATATTCGTTCGCAACTTGCATAGACATTCTTCGAAGCTCCTCTTCATGTTTCTCATGACAGGTTACGGTCAAAATTTCTATTTCCCTTTTATCAAGATCTTTCTTTATTTGGTCTTTTACAGTTTGTTCCAGTTGTTGACACTGAAAGTCAAAACTTTGTTTTTGGCTCGTTTGCCACTGTACAATAATATCTTTGTATTTGTCATTTTCAAAATATTTATTGATTTCTTCCTCGCTTCTTGTTTTTTCTTCAAGAAGAAGATTATTTACATTTTTATTAACTTTGTTAGCTGCCGTATATAAATTTTCTTCCTGTTCACAACTTGCAAAACTCTTTTGTGAAATCTTTATCAATTCATCTCGAATCAAGCTTTCAATCCGCCAAAGTTGATTTTGAACAGCATGTTCCATTGCCATGTAGGCTTTGATTTCAATGCTGTTTTTAAAGGAAAATACAAAGTTCTCATTAAGAACACCTTTCCATATATTATGAGCATGTTCAGTAATATCGCTTAAAGATTTGTATGATTTATCTTTCATCGTCATGGCTTTACTCAAGATACTGGATTTAATATCTATTACCCTTTCACTATATTCTGTATTTACTCTAGCCATTGGAGGATTGCCTTGCCACAGATTTTTAAGATACCATACTTGTGAATTTAAATCAAATTCAATAACCTGATTGAAGGTAGTTACATCTCTAATATTTTCGCTTTCTGCTGATTCCTTAGTCATCTCATCCAGAGTTTTAATTAATTTACTCAGACCGCTCATCAAATTTTCGGACGCAGAAGTATCTGTTACATTTTGATGGATGAAAGAACAGCTTTTCTTTAAGTCTAATTCTTTGTTTATCATTTTAAATCTCAGAAATGCATGAACGATTACTTGAAGTATATCCCGTATTTCGCATGTATTTTCCCCCATTATATTAATCAGGGTTATATCTCCTATTCCGGTTATTGCAGTTGCTAACTCATTATCATGTTCATGTTGAAAATGACTTAATTCAGGTGACCTTAGCCCTTCTGTGTCAACAACAAGAATGAAATTGTAATCCGATTGTGATTTATCTTTGAATTTAGCAGTATCTACAGGTATCAGTTTTGCATGGATACCCCTTGTACACCTTCCGGTTCGGGTTGAAAACTGACAACCAAACATAGTATTTAAAAATGTGGACTTTCCAGAGCTTTGTAACCCCAATACGCGAGTGCAAGAACCTTGCCTGCTCCAATGTATTGATCAACTTCCTCGACTACTGCTTTTATCCATTTATAAGGCATATAAAAGCTTTCTCCATCTATTAGTTCTAATTGGTGTCCATGAGCGACAAGACGACCAATAATATTTGCCATTTGGCATAATGGTGGCAATTCTAATGTAGCGAAGTCTTTTTCTAGCTCTAGGATTGTCTCATTTATATGTCCTATTTCAATAAAAAAATGTTCAATAGAAAATGATGCTTCATCTATCTTCTTTTCTTTTTCTGCTATGGTATTTTCTTGCTTTACTATATCGGATTGATTCGGTTTTTCATTGCTTTTAAGAAGTTTTAATTTTCTCCAAGCTTGTCGATGTTCGTTCATTAATTGAGGCAATGATCGTCGCTTTTCTCTTTCGATATAAAAATGTAACCAACAAAGAAAATACTTCAGTATCTGAAGATTATTTTCATACTTTTTAAGCATGCAAGTGAAAAGTTTAACTGATTGTGTAATGGACATTATTTGAGTTTCTCTGACGGTTTTAATTTGATCATCAATGGCGTTGACACCTTCCAAGCCTTTTGTCCTTTCCCGCTCTTTGATCAGTTTTCCTAATTCTTTTGAATATTTACTATGAGCAGGTGTCAGAGTTTGCTTCCAAGAACACGATAAGCCCTCATCATTCATTTGCTTAATCATTTCCTTTGATTTCTGCTTACCTATTTGACAGTTTTCATCATCTTCATCTATTCTTATTTTTATTTTGGCTTGGCGTAAGCGTTCATGATATGATTTAGTGCAATTTAGCTTCAAATGATCTGCTATATGTACTGATATAAAGGAGACCATATCGACAGCGTTTTGTTCAACATTTCCTTTATATGTACTCAATACACGGAGATTTATGTTTGGTTTTTGTTTCGAAACATTTGCCTTAAACTTATTTATTTCTTTTACAGTTTCTTGTGTAATGGGATTTGCAATAATTAAAATTACTGACGAAAATTTCAGGAGAACATCAGTTAAATTTCTACACTTTTTACAAATAGTTTCAATGTCAACTATAATGCCGAGAGTATCTACAAAGGTTGAAATAAAGGTTTGAATTTCTGCATCAAAATGATGTTCTAAATCACCTCTTAAGTTCAAAAATGTCATTGCTTCCTGAAATCTATCCTGTTTATTTCCAATTAACGGCAACCAAAACATTTCAACTAGTCCATTACTGAGTTTTCTTTTTGTCATTCCAGACGGAGAGTCAGAATTGAAAAACGTTTTGCATCCTTGATCCGAAAGGAGACTATTAATCAATTTTGATTTTGAATAGCGGGGTCGACCCAACCTTCCAAAAGCTATCATTTTTGTTGGAAAATCAAGAATGTCAATTTCTTTACATTGGGCATCACTGTTTCCAGCATTTTTTTGCTTATTTTCTATTGCTAAAGATCGCAAAGGCCAAACTGAAAGTACTGACACTTGCGTTCTTTTAGTTTCCCAATATTTGTACAAACATGGTACAGCGATTTTACAAATATATAATTTTTGTACCACGACTTGTTTCAAAAAAGGATCACAACATTGGAAAATGATAAAAAATGCATCTAATGGGCTTATATCTTGTTTATCGTCAAGTTTGTCAGATATACAGCTCAAAGTATCTTCTAAGTCAATGCCGTTATTTAAATCATGTTCATTTATCACTGATATATCCCTAGATTCACTATGCGAACTTAGCAATCGTTTTAGGACTAACCACGGGATATCAGTTGAACAAATAGGTTCATTTTCCACCTTATTCCATTCGCTTGAATCTACGGTAACAATGTCTCTGATCGATATTGTACTTGGGTATCTGTTAGTCAACCCAAGTTCTGCTAGCATTTGCCAAAATATCTCTTTGTTAGACCCGACAGTACCTGTAAAATATAAAACCAATCATTAATTTGCTTATTGGTAAGTTCATGTTTCTTCATTATTTAACTATGTTTAATCATTTTTTTTGTTATTTTGCTAGGACTTAGCATCTCCCTCTTTAAGCTTTAAAGAAGTGAGCTATATTGTTTTCATAAAATCTGTCGTCTGTCTTCGGGTCGGTATTTACGCAAACACAACTTTTTCGATCAATAAATACAAACCTCTATCGGCTAAGCCTTCAGTTTGAAGGTTAGTTTAATGTGTACTCTGATCATAACAGTACAGATTAAAAAAATTCAAAAGTCATAATGTGTCTTAATATTATACATGTATGGTAATGTTTTTATTGCCTGTAATTATTAAAAAAGCGTGTTTTTTTCTCTCTTATTTCTTTATAATTCATTAGTTCATTAGGGCATTGCACCCTATTTTAAAAAGACTCGACGCAAACAATAGCACTATTAAACTCAATAACTTTGGCTTATTAAGTGCAATAGTGAATGCACAAAATTATACTTTTTATAAATATGTGAAATTAGCTTTAATTTTTTTCCCAGTATTTGGAATGACTTGGACAATGTACTAAAAACTGGTGTCCATGAACATCTCACTTAACAAACTGTACTGTGGTCCTGTTAAGGGTGCTGACATACAATCAAAGTTATGAGATGTCCAATACGAGAAGATTTTCAGTATGCATTATACACAACATGCTCTAGATAATATTGAAAGCTTATGAAAGTTTGCTAGCCTAAAAGAGAAAGGCATAGTAATTAAATCTTAGAGTACGAAATAATGACTTTTAGTTTAGAATTTGATTAACTATAAAAGATATTGGTCGTCTAGGACAAAAAATTGATTCTCCATAAACGTTTACTTAATGTTGTATTTCTTTGTTTCATTAATATATATTCGACAGCTCCTTTTTCATTTTATTTTTTCACAATACAAAAAAATTATGCATTTACATCAAATCTATAGAGATATACGTGTATAGAGGTTTCAGGCTCTAAAAGGATTTTAAAGAAAGATATTCAATTGTATCTTGTTTATATTGTACAAGGTAATTAATCCCAGAACTTTTTAACATATCATTAGAAAATAATTCCCTTTCAGAGATAATTATATTGCAACATATAGGAGAACAAACATTTATCAAAGTATTGCAAGCAATACATAAGTCCACTTCCGGTTAGAACCCCAGCAACATTCTGAAGGGCCATTGGTCATTGAATTATGCCATTGAATGAAAGAATGAATGACATGAATGAACTTAAATGTTTTGAGTCCTTAGTTTGCTATATCTTAGTTATGTGTTAAGTTTCCCTGCCTAGTAAGGCAATTCTAAAAGAGATAATCAAAGATCCAATTTGCTCAGGATAAAAATGTATAACTTATGTTTCAACTTTACTCTTTTTTAAGTAAATGTGTTGAAAAGGTCTTTAAATGTGATCTTAGGAATTAATTTTTAGGAACGGACAGAGAGACAAACTGACGGAGACACTGTGGATAAATCTTTAAACATAGCTGGTTGTTACCAGACAATAACATTTAATAAAAGCAAAATTCTTAAACCATTTATAGTCACAAAAAGAAAAGTGAAAAAATAAAGACTTTCAAATATATCATTTAAAGTAACAAAGAAGAAAATTAAAAAAATGGAAAATAATCATGGAAACCCATGTCTTATAAATCTTATCACATATGAAGAAGGTTTTGATAATGAATGTCTATTTTAAATTTTAGGTAAATCCATTGAAAAGAATAAGTAAGTAAGGAGTATATAATTCTTATATGTATATTTTTGTGCTAGAGTTGTAAACCTTGTTACATATGATGTGGTTGATAATCAGAAAATATATTTGAAGTTTAAAATACCTTAAGAAATAAAGAATTTATAGAGACAAAGCGTAAAAAAACTGGAATCTGAAATGTTGACGAGGTCTACGACGCTTTGTGAGAAGGACAGCTCTCAATATACTCCCTATATAAAAGATGAAAATGATTACTATAATCTCCACAAGTTTCATTAAAATGTTTTCGGTACTTTTTGAGTAATCACAAATGTTGTTATAGTTTCCATATTCTAGCCTATTAGCAACAAAATTTATCAACATAGCAACAATAGACGTGCATAATCTCCAGAATGCAATCTACACATATTTCAAGTTTCATATAGATATTTTCAGTTTATGTGTTAAATTAGCCATAATTATAGTCTATTTGTTGCCATGGCCACCAAAGTGTTCAACATAGGAAAAACAGAAAAAAGACGTGCATAATCTCCAGACTGCAATCTATCCATATACCAAGTTTCACAAAAAATATTTTCATCAGTTTTGCGTTATCGCAGGATTCAGTTTTGTGGACCGACTGACGGACGGAGGGAAAGACGGATGGATGGACAGACGAACGGAGGGTTAACCATAAATTCCCTCCGGTCAAATCGGTAAGGGACTTATTACTAATATGATATTGTTACTTCACCTAATTTAGACCTTTCAACATGTTCAACATGTTCAACAAAATAATAAATATTTTAAGTGAAATTTAATCTTAACAAACTTTCCAGTATGTTCAGGATGACAAAGAAAATAGACGCAATATTAAGTAATACTTAATCGATAAGATTACACATTATTATTGATGTTTAAGTATTTAGTTCTATACAAAAATTGATTTGATTAAAGTCTCTAAATGTATCACACTGAGAGTTCTCAATTTTTATATTCAGTATTTTAAATAAAATCAAGGATGTTATAATGTCTCTTATGTATCTTCAAGATAAGAAACTAGTTTGGTATTTACTTATATTTCATTTAATACAGTTTTAAGGCTTTAGGCAATACTAGCTGATATAACGGAGATGTTTTATCTTTTCTTAGAAATTAGAATTATTTGATAGCATAGTTTTGGCAACGTATTCCAAATGATGTTCCAAGGTAAAGTTTGTGAAAAGACAAGTCTATGAGTTGAGTTCTAAAGATCCGTATTGTATTGTTACCCTTTACAATCAATTGCAGCTCTTTTATCTATAAGTAATTACATATCATTCGAATATAAAAAATAGTACATATGAATTTTCACATGTTATCAATATATTTAAATTTTGTAGGAACCGCTGACTGTTATAGACATAATTATCGTTCTAACAGATAATGTCTAATACCATCATTAAATCAACAACAGCAACAAAATTGTATTCTTGTGTGACTATCATTAAAAATTAAAACAACGGCATTAAAACAAGAAACAAACACATTGTCTGAAAAGATATTGAATGAAATTGTTTAAACCCAGACAGTGTGAATAAATAACCATTTTTCTTCATTTCTACCCGAAAGCAGGGCATTCACATAGACAGGAGTTTCAGCACATGGCAATAATGACAGAAGACTATAACAATTAGTTTGCTTACTAGTTCCGTGTAAAAAATCCGATTTTTTTATCACATTTTGTAGGCGCAGTTTTTGCACGTGTATCAGTTTTGGTCTTAAATAACTGTAATTGAAACATTTATCTTTCCAAATACCGCATACCGTATAAGTGTGTTTTTTCTGCGGGCTCCAAATTCTGCGGTTTTTCCAAATTTTGGCATGTTTTTATTTCTACGGACTTTATTTCTGCAGCACATTCTTTGGACAAAACATGATATAAAATCTGCGAATCTTCTTATCAAAGTTTAAGTCACATTACTGTACTCTTTTTATTTGATGTTCACATTCGCATTTGTTTATCGTCGCACCCGCAAAACTGTATAGTGATTACAAACCATTATATTGTTTGCTTGCAAACAAATATAACGTGAAACAAAAGAAAAGTATGCATCTTTTGATCAGCGTGAAATGAGGTGTGCAAAGTATACCCCAGTAGTGTCTTTAATATGATATAATTGATAGAAGTTTAACGTAAATTAGATTACATTAGAAAACATATTAGAAATATTCTGCGGTTTTTATTGCTGCGGTACTAATACTGACCGCAGAATACGCAGAAATAAAGTCACCGCAGAAAACTTATACGGTATGCTACTGTTCTAACTCAGGATAATGTATCAACCTGTTGTTTGTGAAGATTCTTTTAATGATTTTGATCCTTGCCTTCTTCTGGCAGGTGTAGCTTCTGACTTGACCTTGACCCCTGTAAAAAAAACAAAAAAAAACATTTACATTCTTTTACTTTTTCAATGTTGATTTAAGCGCCATTTTGAGTAAGTCTCTCTCTCATAACATCATCCGGAAAAAAATCGCAGATTCAGATGGTTTTTAATTTAAAATTTGACGATTTCCGTGTTTAAATGTTTTGCTTTAGCCGGTGATAAGGAGCGTTGCCATTATCGTTCATTTACTGGCTCAATCAAACCGAGCCTGCAACATTTCCAATTTTGTCGTTGTTTTTTTTTGCGTTCTTTACAAATTCCAATTTTCTCTATTTTATTGCCACATCGGTGTTACTTGTACCGTGTGGAAGCCGTAAAATGTCGGCTCTTACATATGATAAAATATTTTATTTTTCTGATCCTTGACATCATTGTTGTGTATGCATGTTTGAGGTATTTTTGTGATATTTTTAGTTCATTCTATTTCAACCGTTCTTAACTGACGCGGTTCGAGTTTTTCTACTTGAATACTTTATAATCACCCTTAGGATATGGTGCCTGATTATTTTTCTCTTTTTTAATTGCCTTTTAACGTCTTATCTGTGATATGCAGGTCTCATAAAACCCTTTCAAAATTCCATTTTGTTTAGTTCCACCAATTGTTTTCTTCTTTTGCATTAATTTTTATCGGAGGTAATACGAAATAAATGTTGATATTTCAAGTCACTTTTATGTATACTAAAGACAAATGGTATTATATCCTTTGGTTCATTAAAACATAATAGTTTATAAAAGTAGAATTTTATTTTTATATATGAGGGGTTTACATTGGTTGGCGTCTGAGCATCTCTTGTCTCTAGCAGGTTAA